GAAGGGAGAAAGCTAGAAGAGTCTTCTTGAGGTAAAGCAAGAATCAGGTATCAGAAGCAAGAGAATGCTTGAATAAAGTATCTGCTTTGTGTTACAACAAGAGCTTAACAAATTGGATTGGATAATTATGCAAGGAAAAAGACAACTATTGTTCCTAAAGTTTTTATACATCCTGTCTATGTGCAAGTACACCTTAAAAACTACTTTATGTTATAAATTAAGATTTTTCAACTACACATTTGCGATCTAATTCTATCTGATAATAAAGCTCCTCAGGAGAGACTTTATTTTCACATACATAGTGCTCATCAAGAAAATGAATGAATAATTCTTAAATAAAGTTCACTTGAATTTAGTATCCATTTGAGGATTTAAAATTAATTAATCAGACAATAAAGTTTATTAAAAACAATACAAAGGGGGCGTATTTTCTTCCATTGTGATTTATCATCATCTTATTTAACTTCAGAATAAATGTATTTCAGTCCTTCTAATAAAATATATCAGCAGCTATTAAGGTGGAGTATACCTTTTGGGCCAATTCCTTTATATAAGCTGTGGACTTGTTACATTGCCTGACAGAATGAAAACATCTTTAAATTTATATAAATATAACAGAAATAAGAATGCCATCTCAGCATTGACAAATCAGTTAAATAGATAACTGGTGTAAATGGGAATTTATACACTTCTNAACAGATCTTTTAAAATAATCTCTAACATTGACTCAAAGTGCTCCCTCCCTCTCTTGCTTCCACTAACGCTTTTTGCTGGTGGGATTTCCTGCCATACAGAGGTCACAGTTCTAACAGCTCATGCCGGAGGCCAGCTTCAGGCTGTGCAGCTGGGTTTGCATGTCCTTTCACATTACCTGAGGGCACAGCAATGCAAACACAACACATGTTTTTCAGCATTCAGTGAAGCTATCAGCATTTTTTTGCAATGCTTTGAAAAAAAAACCAAAAACCCAAGCACATCCAGCTGCTAGACTAAGTACTGTGCTCTGGCTAGGTGAGCATATAAACTTGATTATTTCTTAAGCTAAAGATCTTGTCTCCAGAGGCCATCTACCATCCGGCAACGTGTTGAAATTTGCCTACAGCTATAACATAGTAAGACCATTGCAGAATTTGTCTTTATTTAATGTCCAGTTCTTCTGTTGTGTTGAAGGGATGGCGGTGTTTTCTTCCTGGTAAAGAGGCTAAGTTTGATCCAAGCCAAATCCCTTCAATGGGTCAAGATCAACATTGTGAATGGCAGAAAAATATTTAGGATTGCTTGCTAAAATTTTAAAACTTATACCTGTTTTTTGGAGGTAAAGTTTAATGCTAGTATATTTTGATGACATGTACAATTTTTTTTTACAAAATATTATTCATTAAAAGTTAACCTTCATTTTATGTTGTCTTATCTATCAGTGAGGATTACTTGGATATTTACTTATTTTTACTGAAAAGAAAAAAGGAAAGAAGTTTTACTCATTGTTGCAAAACATTTTGAAACAACTTGTTTATAAAGGTCATATATTCCAATGTTTTTCTCCCTTTTATATTCTTAATCTATCTCAGCGCACAAACATTAATCAGGGAACACAGAAACTTCAATCAAGGTTGAAAAGGCATTGTTTATAGTGTTTGTGAGATGCTAACATCTCTCAAGCGTCTAATGATTTCTAATGAGATCTGAAACTCCTAAAGAGACAGTATTACAGCAAATTCAGAGCTGGAGGAATTCAGTAAAGGAATAATAGAATCAGAATGGTCTAGGCTGGAAGCAACTGTAAAAATCATTCAATACCCTTGTCATGGCAGGGACACATTAGAAATAGTTTGGGAATTTTGTACATGAGAAAATTTAATAATTCTACCAGATAAGGTTCTAAAGATTTTTATCATGTTTACTAACAACTGACAAATTAAAAGTGCATTTGTTAAATCATTAAAAGAATTTTCTCTTCTTTTAAGGGAGGAATGCCACATAACATATTTCTTCTTTTTCATGTTTATTACTTTTACTAAAATGTTTATATTTGTAATTATAACAATAGAATTATGGATATGAAATCATAATGGTCTTGCAAAACATTACTGTATAGTTAATTAGATGTCTAAGCCTGAGCTAGACCTCTTCAGGTGGCTTCACAGACATGCACATGTTGGAAAGTAATTAATCAGATAATGATAAAAGGGTGATTCTTCTTCTCTCTTTTATATAACTCCCTTTAAGAGAAGGTGAGTAATACATTACTGATAACTTCTTCATTCGAAGGCAAAAGTATGTCAGAATTAGTGGCCTAGATACAGAATTTAAGGTAGGATTTTATTCTTAAAATGTAGATGTTTTAGTGATTTTTTTTTTTTTACTGATATTTTATTTGCTGTCTGGAACACCCACAAAGCACTGGCAGGCACTGCAGGACTCATGGGATAGCTGCACTCGTTTACAGAGGTAGATTGATGCCAAAATTAATATCCTATGGTTTCTGAGAAGGCATCGTGTTTTGTTACAGGCCATTCTTAGGTTAATTGGAACAACTTTAGCCAAACACAATGAGATATAAGCAAGTAGAATATGTTCAAGCTGCAAGTACAAAGTAACTGTTCATTGGTTATTGCACATAACATTTATTAAGGTTATCCACTCTTCAGGCTGAGCATTAGTATGCTCACCATCCCAATGAGGTACCTCCAAAACCTATGTAGTTATGAATTAAAATAACTGCAAAATATCTAGTTCAGAGTTGGACTACATTATCTTACTTAGAGTGTGAAGATACAGGGAGGACTGGTAAGTATAAAAAAGGGACCTCAGAGACACACAATCTGGAGTGCATCTGGAGACTGTATGAGATACCTCACAGTTCCTAAAATGGGCATATTCAGAACGTTGAATCCCTAAAATAAATTGTGCCCTAAAATTGTTTGGATTTTTTAAAAATTTTGTTTTGTCTATTAATGCACTAAACATTCAGATATTTCAAGTACAGAGGTATGTGTGTATAGAAGGTTATACTGAAATATTGACTTTGCTATTAGTTTTTAAAAAGCAAGCAAATATAAAGACTAAATATAACATAGCTATCATAAACATTGAATTTTTTATTTTTACAATTAAAAAAATCAAAGAAACAGAAGGGAAATTACTGCAATCCACAGAGCATCAATGATTTTGTGCCTTGTATTTTGTGCATTTAGGGGTTATGTAACTATGTGCAATTATATATCTCCCTGTAAGAACCTAATCCAGAATATAACCATGGAAAATTGAGTTTACCTACTTCCTAACACTGAAGGTAGATAAGATGGTTAGATTTCTTCCAGTAAAATTCCTCAAAGCCTATATATTTGTTTATCTTCATTCTGAAAATTGTCAGGGTCCATAAAACATTTTCCAGAGCAATATTAGTTTTCATTTTAATGATTCAAAAATTTTCATCACAGAAAATTTTATTGCTACTGTCATATGAAGAAAAGGAAAAAAAAAATAAAAGCAAACCTCGTTTGTGAAACTGGGAAAAGAGTTTCACAAAGGTGGATGTCTTGAAAGCTGTGGCACTTTGTTTGTTTGTTTTATGGATTGATTTGGTTCTTTTAGCTGACCACAGCATGAATTTCTAAGGGAACCATTGAAAAGACCAAAAGTAATCTGTAACCATCAGAAGCAGTGCTGAAGATGTGGCAGCTGTGTCCCATGAATACCCGCTCATCTCTAACTCAAAGCAGAGCTACTGATGACATGTTTCCATTTGAATTCATCTCTGGATATTTCACATCTTCATTAAAATATATTTAAAAGCACTGACTGAAAACCCCTCAGGTGAAACTATTCTTTAAGCTGACTGTACCTTTGTCCTAGAACAATTTACATGTGATTATAAGAAGGGAGAAAGCTAGAAGAGTCTTTTTGAGATAAAGCAAGAATCAGGTATCAGAAGCAAGAGGATGCTTGAATAAAGTATCCGCTTTGTGTTGCAACAAGAGCTTAACAAATTGAATTGGATAATTATGCAAGGAAAAAGACAACTATTGTTCCTAAAGTTTTTATGCAGCCTGTCTATGTGCAAGTACACCTTAAAAACTACTTTATGTTATAAATTAAGATTTTTCAACTACACATTTTCGATCTAATTCTATCTGATAATAAAGCTCCTCAGGAGAGACTTTATTTTCACATACATAGTGCTCATCAAAAAAAATGAATGAATAATTCTTAAATAAAGTTCACTTGAATTTAGTATCCATTTGAGGATTTAAAATTAATTAATCAGACAATAAAGTAAAGTTTATTAAAAACAATACAAAGGGGGCGTATATTCTTCCATTGTGATTTATCATCATCTTATTTAACTTCAGAATAAATGTATTTCAGTCCTTCTAATAAAATATATCAGCAGCTATTAAGGTGGAGTATACCTTTTGGGCCAATTCCTTTATATAAGCTGTGGACTTGTTACATTGCCTGACAGAATGAAAACATCTTTAAATTTATATAAATATAACAGAAATAAGAATGCCATCTCAGCATTGACAAATCAGTTAAATAGATAACTGGTGTAAATGGGAATTTATACACTTCTATTTCCATTTTTATTTTAGTAGAATTTTGAGATTGGAAGTAAAAACTGTAGAACATATAAATAACACACAACCTGGAAAATGCCAAATGAATAATTTTTTATTTTAAACTTATCTTGGTGAAAGAGACACCTTAATTACATAAAGTATATGAAATTCTTTTCTAAAAATTGAGAGATGATCATTATTTGTATTATTAGTACAGTCATCTTGATTCAAAATACTGAACACAGCTGCGAACAGAGATGAAACTTGGAAACATTTAAAAATTAATTTTCTCTTTTCTTCCCAGCAATGACAAGCAAATTATATTCACTTAATTTTTTTCATGACCTCCAATATATCTCACCACAGACTCTTGTTAATTCATTTTCTATAATTTTTTGTTCTCAGATGAGCAAAAGTTACCCCTCATTTATAACTTACAAAAATATCTCCTGAGGAACACGTGAAAAACACAAATCTCCAAGACTTCCTTATGTCTCCTTGGTGTTCTGCTTTGTTCACTGGCTGTCCCACGAAGGGATGACTCAGGACACATTTGCAGGGAGTAGGATTGTTTATATGCTTCTTCCTTCATGCTCATTATTTTCTACAACCACCATATTCTTTTGGGACTGTTAGCCATAAGACAGATTGTCTCATCTCTGCAACAGACAAATTCTCTGCAAGACAGCAAGAACAAGGCTTCTCAGCAGTGAGAGATAATAATAAAAAAACCCAACAAACCAGGAAAAGAAACAAAAACCAAACAAACAAAAAAAAAGCTCCCAATGAACAAAATTACAAAAAAGTACAAAAAATACTAAAAAAAACTACACAAAAAGTACTCAAACAAGAAAAATAATGTCTATATATAATCCTACATGTATCAGTAGGTGTCCCAAAAAAGGAGACTAGAATCAAGCTTGCAATAGGGATGAGGAATCTAAAATTCAGACAATAAAAAGAAAAGTGGGATAAACAGCAGAAGATTGGCAGTTCTTACTGTCTTTCTCTGTGCCTTTCTTTTCCAGCACTACCTAACAGCCCAAGCACTATTGTTCCTGCTGCTAGCAGCAAGCCAAGCTTTTCAAATCTGCACTGTAGACTGAGTAGATTTGGCCATTAGTCCCTCTCTGATAGGCTTCCTTATAGGGCTGTATATGGCTAAAGCTGTCTTCTCATTTTGATGAGCTGGGATTTAAGTCAATGCACTTAACTCTGTGAAGTGTTTTTGTTTTTTTTCCATAATTTTGATTTTTGAAAGTGATTATCTGAATTTAAAGAATACTAACAATAGCTTGCAAACAAACTAACCTTATATAATACCTGCAGACATTCTTATGGTATTTTTTTCTGGGACAATTACATATTTCTCCATTAACATAATAGCTCCTCATTTCTTTTAAGATCTGGAGTATGCAGTGGCAGTTAAACTAATTAAGAATCACTAAATTACTAGTAAACTGCTATTTACAAATAAAATTTGTTTGCTATTTAAAGAGAATATTTAGAAAAAAAAAATCAATACTTGAATACTTCTGTACATACATTGAGCTAATTTCTCGTGAATTAATTAGTAGTGTTTTATAGTAACACCTATCATAGACCGACTCTGCTGTCTTCCTGGCTAAAAATTTGGATGAGGTGACCAGAATTCAGCATCATAAACTTCCTGTTTAGCTTGGGCAGCTATTTTAGTCCTCTCTATTTGATGATTAAGCAAGGCTAAGTCTCATTTAGAAAGTGGAAGAGTAACTTAATCTTTCCATACTTTGGATGCCCCTTAAGCTTTTCTGGTGAAAATTAAAACTGAAGTGTATACTGCTTACAAGGACAAAAACTAGTGAAAATTTCTAGCTGCCTAAGAATAATGACCTTAGTGTCTATTCCCATTGCTAAAAAAGAAAAATAAAAATAAAAATAAAGATTCTTTATAATTAATTTTTTTCCTTTTATTTTGTCCCCTGAGAATGGTAGCAACTGCCTTGTGTTGACTGTGTTGGGTTTATTTAGTTATGCATGTCTTTTTTAATGTTGTTACAGCTTTTCTACATATCCCCTTCAAGGGGAAACACTCTAACAAAAAGTTTTTTATATTTGATGAGGGGCTTAATAATTTGAGATTTTTTTCTACCTGTCTGTGTAGGACTATATGACTGTCCTTTATAAAGAACTCTATAGGAGAGAATCATATATGTTTATCTTATTAAGGCCATTTATAGAATAAAAATCTAAATTTAAAATTCAACGTTGTATTAGAGAAAATTTCATTTTCTGAGAACTTTTTAAAATTTAAACTGATCTCACTAAAAAGGAAGCACAAATAGAAGTAACGCAACTTAGGTCCAGTCTGTTACAGTTAATAGTATACATGCTTTGCATGAATCATTTAGTAAAGACAATGAAATATCAAGTTTCAGTCTATGAAAAGGATGGATGTTCCTTCTGATCATATGTTGCATCTATGTTCCATAGAACATTTATTATTTTACTTTCAAAAGAAACAGAATAAAAAGGAAGATACAAGAGAAAACCAAGATCTCTAGTGTGATAACCCTGTGTATACAAAAGATTTCAGAAACACTTTTCTCCCTTCCAGTCTTTGAGAAATGAAACTTGAGATCTTGTAAATTGAAACAAAGCAGAAAAGCCTAAAAGCAGTGCACAACTTCACTCAGTGGCCTTGGAATAATGAAAGGTTGAGACCAACGATCATCTGTCTCCATAATTTCAGTCACAATTGGCAAACACAATTTAGAAACTGCCAGGAAGTGAAATTGATCTCACTCCCTGAGAAAGGAGTATTCATCTCCCCTTATAATTTCTTTACCCCACTAGAGGAACAAAGAAATTGAACCACTTTTGTTGTTGTCCTTATGAAGTCACTTCAACTTGCATGTTGACACACACAGGTGGTTTTCTTCTACCCCAAAGTTTAAAGAATATGAAATCTAGCTAAGAGAAATACCACCAAAAAATGCATTCAATTGTCTGAGGCTGGAATTGTTAACAGCTTGCGAGTATCAATATACGACAGTTTTGATGACATTGAATGCCTGATTTCTAGTAATATTTAATTATTTTTTGGCATTAATTTTTTAAATTTTGTTTTCTTTTTTACCAGCATGATAAGACAAAGCCAGAGACAAAAAGCAGGCACTCTACTGTAAAATGAGCAGCTTTAGAAAAACACTTGCTTATTTTCAAATAAACCAATTGAAAAAAAAACCTGTTACCAGATTCATCCATTTATCTGCTAAAAAGCTTGGAAATTTTCTTTTGTAAATTAAAATGTACTTGAAATTATTGAAGAAGAATATAAAAATATGGATTTCTCTATATATATTACTGAGAAAGATCACCATTTCAATTTTTTAACACACTTATAATAGCACCTTGTTCTCAAATATATAGCACTGCAAAGTTTATTTATACCAGCTACAATTTTCAGTTTCTGATGTCTGCTCAAAGCTCAAATTCTGGTGGAAAATTTTAGCTGATATTTTCATGGGTGGTGAAGGTATGGGTAGCATTAACACTAAGAACATGGATAACACCTGAGCTGGTGGAACACTTTCAGGGAGAAAATCAAAGATGGGTTTTTGAACATGCCCCAGAACTCCCATGTAGCACAGAGGTCTGGGTAGGCTGACAGATGTCTCAGGAAGAGGTCAAAGGCACTCTGCATTAAATAAAAGCTCACTAAATGTGCTTGCCTGAGTTTGATTGGCTAACAGATTCCTACCAAGCAGCTCTTTCATTCTTCAGCATGCTTGGGGAAGAAAAAAAAAACAAACATGAATTGAGATAAAGATGGTTAAATACATAAACACTAAGGCTACATATGGGAAAAAAAACCCTAAAAGATACTAACATTTATTCTCTACTTCCCATTGCAAGACAACATCCAGCCATTTCCTGGAAAGTAGGGCCTCAGTACATGAAGTCATTTCTCAAGACAAATGCCTTAATAATAAATGTCTGCTCCCCTCCTTTCTCTTAACTTTTTATTGGTGGATATGACTTTGTATTGGTATAAAATATCTCTTTGGTAAGACTTTTCCATGATCTTAAGGCACAGAGGTGAGGCAGTTGGGTATTTCCCAGGGTCCTCCTTTCTACCCTTTATAAAGATGGGCACAGTGTTTCCCCGTTTCTAATCATCTGGGACCTCACCTTTCTACCATGACTTCAAATTATCAGGGCAAGGGGATTGACAACAACATCAGCCAATTCCCAGCGGGCTCTGGGATGCATCTCATTTCATCACAGACTTATGTACATTTCAGGTTACTCAGGTGTTCACAAGCCTGATCTTCCTCCTGTCACTTTTTTTCCTCCTGTGGAAAGAACTTTGCTCCTGCAATTCCCATGCTACTGTCCATCCACTTGAGAGGTGTTGGAAGAGAGGTTGCCACTAAAGACAAAGAAGATGCTGGGTACCTCAGCCTTCTCCTCATCTGTTGTCACCAGTTTTCCAGAATTTTTCATCGGGGGATACACCTCCATTGATCTTCATTTTCTGGTAACCATGCTTGTGGAAACCCTCTTGTTATTCTTTGAATCCCTTGCAAAGCTCAATTCCAGCTTCACCTTGGCCTTCCGTACCCCATCCCTACACAACTGTACTTCATCTCTATAACCTTTGGAAGGTGTTTATCCTTGTTTCCTCTGCCTGCACATTAGTTTCTTTCCCTTTAGTGTAACCAACAATTCCCAGATCAGCTGAGCCAGTCTCTTGTCTTCCTCTCCCGATTTCTTGATTCTGGGGATTGCCAACTCTTGTGCTTTCTGGAAGACATCCTTAAAAATCTGCACATCTGTTCTGCTTCCTAGTCCCACCTTCATTCTTGTAAAACTCTTACCAAACTATGTCCCTGACTGTGTTTACTGTTTTTGTCTTAAAAATATTTTCCTAAGTAATGTTTTCTGTAGCAATGAATCTATGATTATTCATCTATCTATGAATATAGATACTGAAATAATGAGTTTAAAGTATTTATATCTTATGAAGCTGACAAAATAGTTTCCTAGCTGCTTAGCCATAGTACCTTCTGCTATACCTTAATGTTTATATTTTGAGATATTCTGCAGGACTTACAGTGATCTCACATTACAAAAGAAAAAGAAGCAACTTCCTACAGTTTTTGGTTTGAACTTTATTTTCATTTACTTTTGGATGCTCTAGTGTCTCTCAGTTTGGAACCTGAATACTGAATAGCTGTAGACGTTTATTTGGGTCAATGAATATACAATGGAGATCAGGATATAGGGAAAAATGAACAAATTAACTGAAAAAAAAAAAAAAAAGCCTTTAATAATAGTTAATGAATGTATCTGCACACATTTAACACCTAAATAAATAAAAATAGGATGGGAAGGCACCAAATGCAAAACAAAGGGAAAGATAACAATGAAGACAATAACATTGTGTCCCTTGATATAACCCAGTAAAAGAAATCAGTTAGCATGAAGCAGTAATCACAGAAATGTTCTCTGATGTGATGAAAAAGCAGTAGAGATGATGCTATCAGAAGAAAACTGAAGATAAAACTAACTACTACAAATATTTATGAAGAACAACCAAATCTTACAAGCTAATATTCAAAAAGAAATTTCAATAATTCTATTAGTCTGAGATTCATTAAATCAAAGGAAAGTCAAGTGTTACATATCTGCATAAGTACTAGGGAGTGTTCCTTAATGAGGTCTAAAGGTATTTAGATGTTAAGATAATTACCAAAGTGAACAACTCATAAAAAATTAGCTCAGGAAGATCTTTGTAATGAGAAGTTTTTGCAGATTAAGATTATGAAATATCATGTTCATTCAACCTCATTTTTAGAAGCTATTAAGAAACTGACCTTAGCCTGATTAGTTTTAGCTATATAGGAAACACACAATAGGGAAAACTAAATGGGATTTTAATTAACAGAAGGCCTAGTCACAAGAGAGGCAAGACTGAAAAAAACCCAAATATGACAATGAAATCTCTTTCAGAGCGTTTGCACACTTATTTGACAACTGCTGTTTAACTATGTCAATGCAAGTTCATATTTCTGAGTATCTTTCTCAGCAACATTGATAAACTTAGCATTAGCTTATTTGCAACAATAACCCAATTTAATTTGCTCAGTCTATTACTCAATTAGTATCTTTATTTAATTCGTTAATCTCTAATGCTTCATTAAAAGAAAAGCCATGGCTAAGACTACCTATATTTTAGAAGAGTTAAGTGTCTTACATTTAAAGTAAATTTGTGCTGTGCTGCTGTTACATAAATTAATTATAATTAGTGATCTGTATGTGACTTGTAATTTTATTAATGAAATATGAATTGATTTCAAATATTTGTCATAAGAATATTTCCTTGTAACAGCCATTTCTACCTCTATCATCTTCCTTTTAGATACTTATGTTATTCTCGTAATATAAACTAGCATCCTAAAATGCTAACTAGTCAGGTGATATCTGTTTCTTAACAAACTAAAATCATCAAAACTGTCTACTTTCTTGACTATCTACTGACCATGCTGTGATTCCTTTGACAAATCTCTTTCTGCATAGAAATGCCATACACACAGTTAGCAGGTGTTCATACATTGAGAAAAAGTCTTCAGTTATGGAAATTACATTGAGTTCAAATGTCTAAACCAAAAATAGAAGAAGCCTTCTAATTAGAAAGTAGAGCCCCTAAGCTCCTGGGAAAAAAAAAAAAAAAAAAAAAAAAAAAAGAGATTCAGCTTACTTTTTCTGAAAAGAAAAATATTCCTTTGAAAGAAATATTTTAATGTCTTGAGATGCTCTTACTGAGATTGTTTGTTCAGAAACAGCTAGAGAAAGGAGATATTCAAAAGAAAAAAAAACAGGAGAAAAAAATATGAAGTCTAAATGCAGGAGGGCCTGTAATTTGTTCACTTGTCAGCTGCTTGTTCATACTGTTAACAGCATGGTCTTGCTGCTTTTATCTAATAAACCCTTAAAGCCTCTGTTGTAGAACAGGAAGCAAAGCCCTTCAGCTACTAACATTTGAGAGCTAAGTTCCCCTGCTGTGACTATTTTTGCCATCTCCTAGGATATATGGAGGTATCTAACTTAGGGTCAAGTAGAAACCTAATTAATATTATCAAAAACTAGTTCTTTTCATATGTGTATGAATGAAAAAATGAAGTGACAGTCTTTGCAGTCAGAATAGTTCTACATTACTGCTAAATTTTATTGACAGAAGGAATAAAATCAAGTGACATAACCTTATTTTTCTAGAAAAAGAAACTCTTCTAATGCCCCAAAAGCAAGAAAACACTCTGACTTTTGAGAATTTTACAAAATTTTAATTCTCTTCATTATTAAAAAAACCCAAACCAACGTCATTTCACTAACATTTTTATACCTCTTGTGTCAGTAAAGGTTTTCTTATTCAAGCCATTCTTTCAGCAGTTTTCATCAAAAAGGTAAAATGAAATTTGTCTTTTGCATGTTAGTGCTAAAAATATATCTTATTTATTGGATATTCTTTCTAGAACTGTATTATAAATTAATGGAGATCAGTAACATCAAAGCCTATCTAAAACAGCAAAAAGCATTAAAAGTCACAGAATGATGCAACATTGCTATATGATTATTTTGCTAGAGTATTTAAACTGAAACTATGTTTAGATTAGACATCACAAAGATGGAGCAGGTTGCCCAGAGAAGCTGTGGATGATCCATCACTGGAGGTGCTGAAGGCCGGGTTGGATGGGACTTTGAGCAACCTCATCTAGTTGAAGACAACCCTGTCCAAGAATAGAACTGTATGATCTTTAAGGTTTCTTCCAACCCAAGCCATTCTCTGTCTCTTTGATTCTACGATGATGCTAATGTACAACAAATCATCCATGGATGTACCAGAATAGGTCCAGCAAAGTGCCACAAGGGAGCATCTCTCATATAAGAAAAGGCTGAGACATCTGTGACTATTTAACTGAGAGAAGAGATTGTTCAGGGAGAATTTTGTAAATATGCGTAATGACCTTCCTTCAAGGACTAACAAATATGTAACCAGACTCTATCCAGTAGAATCTAATGATAAACAAAGAGGAAATGGGCTCAAATTGATGCACATGCCACCATGTTAAAATAAAGAACTTCTCTTTATGTGAGGGTAACCAACAATTGGAATACATTATCCAGAAACGTTTTGAAGTCTTCACCCATAAGACATCAAAACCCAATTCTTGGCAATCTGCATTAGTTCTCCTATGTGAGCTAAAGAGATCCCTTTGAACTTCAGCTATCCTGTGATTATATGAAAATAATACAGAAAATTTTAAAGAGAAAGGAACATATGCTGAATAGACTGAAACAAAATCTCATATTTGCATTTTATTCAGTTAGAAAATAAAACTATAAATTAAGAGTAATTCCAGATTTTCCAAGGGGAAAGTTTTTCAGTTTCATAATAAAAATATCCATCTTTACTTTTTAATAAAATTTCCATGAAATTCGCTTTCTTTATGTGTTCTCTTCTGTGTGTCTTCTATAAAGATACTGAAATATATATATAAAAAAAATCTAGTCTAAATATCTTCTAATTTTAGAGTGTTTGTATCAAAACAGAGTACTTCTAATTAATCTATTTTTTTCTAGTTGCTTTGATTAATTGTCATAATAACACTGAACACACATTGAAAGTTCAATTAAATAGGAACTGAAGTGTTAAAATAGTTTGAAATATTTTGTAATTAATTCTTTTGTTTTGATCTTGTACGTATTAAACATAAGTCTATCTTTGCTGAAATTAGACCAGGAATGTAGAAAGAATAAGGATCTGAAACACAGAAATTAATGACATTTGCATTTGCTAGAAAAGAAAGATCAGTCTGCAGTTTGCAGTTTGCAGCCTCCCCACTCACACACACTAATGTAGTGGTAGGGGAGACGGACAAAAGAGAGGGAGTTGCAAGCCTGTCATTTCTAGAAACAACCGTACTGGGCAGAAAATAGAGGACATTTTTATTTACTGCTTATGTGACTAGAATTGAAAGCCTCACAGGGAAATTATGTGTTCCCTTCCTTAACTTTGTGGAACAGCTATGTCTATGCAACAATAGATTTTATTTCCTACCAAAACCATTGACTCACTACTATCTATTTTCCAGTGATGAAACAACGTCACTGCATATGCATAAATTGATCTTCAGAAGAATTACTTACATGACCAATATTCCTTCTCTGTCTTCAGTTTTATGTGATGGTGATCTGCGCTGGTTTTGCGTTAGTTGATATTTGGTGAGGAGGGAAGAAGCCACCCACGGAAATGATCTTTCTGAAAGAAGCTAGTAAGATCTTCCTCTGTTGCTGGCAAAAACCAATAGCTGGCTAGCTCTGACAACTGACAACCTATTAAACCCTTTATAAGCTGGATCCGCCTCTGTGAAATCCACATTTAAAAGATGGCAAGCCTGGGAAATCTTTCTTGCTTACAGCTTTGAAGAGGTAACTGGACGGCAGTGGGGCTGGCCCTGCTCTGTTGTGGCCTGCATGGTCTGGCAGGGCTGGGCCAGACCCTAGTGGCTCCCAGGCAGGGGACAGGAGTCCATGGGGCCCTGGCCGAGGCTGGGCCAGGCTGCAGCTGCTGACATCTCGCTGACACTAAGCCCTGCCCCACCATCAGCCCCCATGAGCAGGGGTCTGCTGGGCCCTAGGAGAGGTTCTGGGCCGGGCCAGGCCCCCTCCACCATGCCCAGCCAGACCCCAGTAGCTTCCAGGCAGAGCAAAGGGACACCATCAGCCTGCAGCTGAAATTGAAGGAAGCAGGGGCCAGAGACCAGCCGTACAGCCAGAACGGCCTCCACCATTCCTGTTCTGGCTGGGCTGCCTGAGATCTTGGCACAGCCCCCAGCTCGGCCTGAAATCCAACACCATGACTGCTTCAGCCACTGCCCATGACCATCTGCAGGCCTGGGCAAGCTATTAATTCTTTCACTTCACAGACGAATCTTGCAAAACATTGATCCTTTCCTGGTTCTGATAAAAGGACAGAGTGAAGACATATAGAGGACAACATGAAGAAACCAAGGTCAGTAAAGAAGGAGTCAAATGCCAGATGGAAGGAGAAAGAGGAGATGCCTTAGTATTGGGCTGAAAGTTCTTTTGGTAAGGCTATGGTGATGGATACAATACACTAAAATATCCCCTGTAATTCATGAGAAAGTATGGGGGGATGGAGTGTTTAAACTGTAGATGTGAGCAGAGGCATCCATAATGAAGCAAAACAGAGGCTGAGGGAGCTGTGATCCCATGAAAAGTTTGAACAGAGAGAAAGATAGTGATGAAGACCCTTTGCCCCCAGGGAGAGAAGAAGACCTCTGTTCTCAGAGATGATCACAGAGATAGATGAAGAGAACCCTTGCTTTTGAACAGCTCATCCCTAAATGATGATGTACCTCATAAGCTGACATGGTCCATGAACTCAGCTGTGGGAAGGCTGTGAAAATGGGCAGAACTTCACAATTGCAGATTTTCTGGGCTGTTTGTGGAAATTAAAAAGCAATGAGAGATCTGTTTCTTGTGAAGAAATCTCCATGGCATGGCAAGAGAAAGCTCCTCTCCCTGTGAGAGTTGATGAAACCCTATTTATTTTAGAGCTGGTAACTGATATAAAATCCCAGGTTTTGTCTCTGCATTATCATTTGGGAAGGAAAAGAAGTCAGGCGGGGGGTGGGGAGAAGTGTTCTGAAGGTTTTATTCTGATTCTTAATATTCTTTTAGTTCTGTTAATAAAGTTTTCTTTATACCTTTTAAGGTATTTTCTTTATACCTTTTTAAAGTTTTAAGTCTGTCTTGTTCTCCTCCTAATTCATATCTCAAAGCAGGAATTGAATAAATAATTTTAGTAGGTGCACTGGCGATTTTAGCCAGCACTAAACCCACTACATTATTTAGTGCATTAGCCTGGAAACTCAAATCAGTGAGCCTAAACCATGACATGATCAAAAGACCATTTGCATCAAGAAGGTTTACATAAAATCTCACAGGTTAGGCTGCAAAAGCTCTTTTTCTCTTGTTAATTTTTTTCTTGCATTATCCAGTGTATTGTAGTAAAACCTAGAGGCAGCTGTTCCCATTGAGATAAATATTTTGCAAGTGGTAAATTTTCTGCCGTTGTTTGAAATAAGAAAAAAATAAACAGGCAAAACAAAAGGAACTGTGAGACCTCTCAGTGTGAGAGGTCTTTGAATATCACCGTCAGCTCCTATATGGAGAGCTGTGCACTAACCTAGCCCATTATGCAAGTTCCAGCTAGGAAGACTATAGGGATCCTAAAGCCTCATCTCAGGATTAGCCCTCTGTTCACTTAGATGGGTGGAGTGAATCTTTGTATATAATTTCATTGCAATGTCCCTGTGTGATTTGACTAAAATTAAAGTACTCTGAAGTGACTATAAATGCCTAGTGAAATTTTAAATTAACTACAAAATACAAAACCCCTGAAGATAAACTATCAAAATATAATCCATGGTCATAGAAGTATAAAATTTGAGCTAATTTGAGCTGTACTTTCTACTGCTGAAAGACACAAAAACTACCTGATTCAAACCAAAAAGTCTAACAGAGAGGAAAATTAAGGAAAATTCAAAAATTGAAATGTCCAGATTCTTTAGTATGGTTCATCTGATTTTCTGTATTGCCCAAGTACATGCTGCACATTCTCAGATTTTCATCTCTTGTTACACAGCTCACATGATATTATACAGACACATTGTCTATTTTTCTAAAGGGCTTTGCTTATTTTGCACATTCAAAACAGTTCAGCAGTTTCCCAATTGTGAGCAATATTTTTCTTAGCAATTCACTTTCCTGTCCACTTCTCCCTTGCAAACATCTCAGAATTTGTTCTGGTAATCTTTTAAAAAAGGGAGAGGTGGGACTGAATGTGTAATAGCACATTAAAATTCAAAACTCTTAAAAAATGTTGACATAGATTTAATTGTCATGCAGCTGAACTGTTTGTAAACATGTTTGCCAATGCCCAAGTGTATCACACATTCCAGAGTAGAGAAAACACAGGAAAAAGCACCATCTTGACTGTGAGAAAAGGGATAAAGCAGATGTTGCTTACTTGACATTCACATCTACATAATATGTTCATAGATAGCTCTATGTACAATTTAATCATGGATAATACGTAAAATGTCAGGAGTCATGTTCTGAGTGATTAGTTCAGCATATCCTAAGGGGACTGGACTCCATGTAGAAAATTTTATATATGCAGGACACTTCAGAATAGAGGTAAGTAGTTGCATATGCATTGCCTGTACAATTTTTCATGTGAATCCTTTTCCTTACTTCTCTTAGAGACATGAATTAAGTTAGTAGTGCTGATATTTAAAGCATATTGATATTCTGAGCTGATCCAATAGGTTTTAAAGGATGTTCATTAAAAAACAGCCATTGTACTGCCCTGTATTTTCAGGATTAATTTAACATGCTTGAAATGTACAGGAAAACAAAATAATGCAAAGCATTTGAAGAAAAAAAACAGATTCTGGGATGGAAAATAGATCATAAATATTACACCCATAGGACACAGCACTATGCAACAGTCTTGTCTTACTTGTTCAAATGCATAATACAATTGTTAACAATTGCACTTGTTAAAAAACTGAAAAAGTTTATATTTATTCCTATTTATTTTATATTTATTTATGGATGCTAAATCTGAACCAGAGTGCCTGTAGTTATTACAGGCCACATAGCTCTCAGGCCTGACTGAGGGCTAGCCTGAGAAATTCATGAGAAAGAATTAAAACAATTCTCAGAGATACTAAACAGCCTTGCAGGTGTTGTTTTGCAGCCTGTTGTTTCTCCTTGCAGGAGAGAGTCGGGGGGGCAAAGTACCCCTGACCAATGATGGTGATGTAGTACTTTGTTAACCAATAAGAGTTTCCTTTCTGTACTTTCCACATATCTGTCTGTAAGACAGAGCTGAAGCAATAAACTGGGAAATTCTCCTGTTGTGACTCCCTTGAGAGAAAAAAAAAATCATCCTTATTGTACTTTGATTAGAAACATTTAGAAATTTCTATGTGTGTAAAATTTTAAAACTTTTGGAATCAGCAAATATTTTGCTGGGTTCATTCTTTGTTTTTACTAAAGCTCTTTTTAACAATAATATTGCAATATTTTCATTACAGTAAACTGAACACAGTGAATCTATTAAAAAGGAGGCAATCACAAACAGTTTTTTAAACTTCTGTGCTCTTATCACATACTAGGAAGGTATTCACAAGTATAGACATTCTTCCAAAAAACATTATATATTGTCTATTAATAGCTTCATTAAAAATTCAATACTGGACACAAAAATATAGAACAATTTTAAAATTATAGCCACCAATTTTTGTTGCTTTTGTTTTTCTATTTGCTTAAATCAGTGTCACTACTATGTGGTATAACATGTACATTAAGGGAAGATACACAATTGTCATATGAATGCTTTGAAATGTTATTAAAAAGAACTTTTTTGGGTTTTTTAAGTGCTTTTTCATGTTTCTTGTCAATTTAGAAATGAAGCATGCCTCAGAATTCAATCTGGTTTTAACATTATTTTTTTAATAGAGAATTCTTTTCACAGCAGTGTTTCCCAACTTGTAAAATTAGTTTCATAAATGGAAATAACTGATAAATATCTGAGTGGAAGTGGATTTGAGTTTAACTACATGAAAGTATTAAAAAGCATTTGAAAGGATGAGCAATTGTAAATTCTAGCTGGATTATTCACAACGTGTTTATAGCAATGATAGATGACAAAGATAAATTAAGGAGCCTTATGCATGCACCAGTGAGACTTGTGCACACTATTTTTACATAATTCAGGACTGTCTAAATGTAAATAAGAATCTTAGTAAGTTATGTGTGTCTAACTTTCAAATTTACTTTTATATTTATATATATATATATATATATATATGCATACAAATACATATGGATGTTTGCATGTATGTGTGTATGTGTGTATATCTATATACACTTCATGAAAAATTGTTACTTAAAAAACATGTGATATGTACTCAATGTACATCAATCCTGAAATAATATGGAGTCTTTCCTTCACATGGCTATATAAAATCTGAAGTTGGTTTGGACATACAATACTGGTACTTAAGAACTTTTAACCAAAAGGTCTACCTGGTGTTTTATAATACTTGAGTTTTTCCTACATGTCCAGAGTGTCTCTGCACATCTCTGGCAGAACAGCCATTTTCAGACTTAGCTAGTTAGATGAATCAGATGGAATAGCTATGGATGTTATCTCTCTGGACTTCCATAAGGCCATTAGCATGGCATGGAATATTAATTTTTCATACCTGATAATTTCTTTAATAGTAGCAATAATTACATCATCAGCCCTCAGTATTCACTGAGAAGTAACAAAGTCACAGTATTGAAGCTGCCTGTCTTTATCTGTCCCAGAGACACTGTTTGAAAAGGAAAATTAAACTTA